CTTTGCATTCCATATATCCAAATGCCAATTTTGGATATCACAAACACATATCTAAAATTGACATCATATCCCCCCCAAGCCTGCCATTCTTCCAAAGTACTCATCTCAAGTAAGGCCACCACTGTATGCCCTCAACCAACTCTAGGATGTCAAACTCAATGCTTCTTTTAAAAATTTTTATTTAAAGAATTTTTTTATCAGCTTCCTTGAGGTATAATTGTATACAAAAAAACTTTCCATGTTTAATACAAACAATTTGATGAGTCTGGACTTATGTATACACCCATAATATCATTGCCAATCACATGCATCACCTCCAAAAGTTTCCTTCTGTCCCTTTGTTGATTTGTGTGTGTATGTGTGTGTTAAGAACAATTAATGAGAGATCTACCCTCTTAAATTACTAAGTGTACAATACTCCATTGTTAACTATAAGCACTATGTTGTACAGATCTCTAGAACTTGTTCATCTCGCACAACTGAATCTTTATACCCATTAATCAACAACTCCCACTTTCCCCTCCCCCTGGCAACCACCATTCTACTGTCTGTTTCTATGACTTTGACTATTTTTAGATAATTCATTTAAATGGGCTTATGCAGTATTTGTCCTTCTGTGACTGGCTATGCCACTTAGCATAACGTCTCTCAGGTTTATCCACAATGTCACAAATGAAAGGATTTCTCTTTTTTAAGACTAATATTCCACCCAAACACCAAAACAGAATAATATTCCATTCCAAACATACCACTTTTTTCTCTCCTTCTCATATGCAACCTGTCTCTAAGTTCTGTCATTTGTTCATTATAAAATGTCCCAAATCCATCCCTTTCTACCATCAAACGTTAGTTCAAGCTACTATCATCTGCACAATGGCCTCTGTCCCATCTGCAGCCACTCTTGTCTAATTTGTTCCACATGATGCAGGACCAGCAAGGGTCCAGTCTGTGGTCACCTCTCCAGCTTCAGCCCACACCACACTCTCAGTGCTCCATTCTCCAGCCACTGGTTTTTCCTGACTTTCTAGACTGCTCACCCCTGCTGCTTCTACCACAGGGACTTGGCACATGCTGTTTCTGCTGCCTGGAGGGCTCATTTTCTAAATTCCTACCTTTCCCTCAGATTCCAGCTCAAACCTCTCTTCCTTAGGAAAGTTTTCCTGATCCATCATTCTGCCAAACACCTTTCCTTCACTGTCCTTATGACAAGTGTCATCTTTCCTTTATTTCTGTGATTTGACGGTCTGCCTCTCCTACTATATTCTGCATGCCAGGAGGCCACTGACAAAGTCTACTTTTGCTCACAGGTATATTCCCAGAGCCAGGTGACATATCAGCATGTGGTTGGCACTCAGTAAAAGTATTTCTCCCACCACTGCCGCAAGGCCCTAGGTGTGCAGAAAATCTTAGAAGCACAAAGGGAATTCTGACACATTATAGACTTCCAGGGCCAACCCTGCAGCTTATGATTTTCTGTCAATAGGAAACAAAATCATAACTCAGTGGCATCTCTGCAGTTTATTCCTGCTGGTTCTACTTTTCTGTAAGCACAGTCTTCATTTTCAAGGAATTGGGATATGAGGGCTACAGCTGACTATTTTGGGGAGGCACTATCTGTTCTATCTCAGACGGGATGGTGTCCTCTGTCTTCATCCCCAGGGCAGGTGTAGGGATGTGCCATGGACGCCCGTTGCTGATTCACATAAGCAGTGGGTGTGTCAGGCTAATTGCTCTACAAGCCTGGGCAGTGCCTCCGAGGCCAGGCCAAAAAGCACGTGGAGGTCATCTCCCTAAGCACCCATCATTTTATGCTTGGTCCATCGCGGGTTTCCTCCTATCACGGGATGCAGGGATGCTCCTGAGAGTGACCCTTTGTCTTACAGTGCTCTCACCACCATCCAGAGCTCAGCCTCCGAGTCTCAACACTCAAGGTCTTTTAAGGACACCAGCCTTCAGCTCCGAACAGGAAGGGTGTTTGAGTAGCAGGACACGTAGAGATCTGTCTTTGAAGAATTCATGTAATTGTTGATGCCAAAATTGAGGAAGATGTTGAGATCACAGTTTTCCAATGTAGTTTTCTTATTGCTATACAACTTACAAACAATATTTCTGGGTGTACCTTTGAAGGTGTTGTGTACACAAACACACAACCAGTAACTCCGATTTACAGCAAAACTATAGTACAGCTAATTATGGCAAATTATAAATAGAACTCAGATGGAAATAATCATAGGCTAAGTATACATTGCATTGATGTTATTTTGTGTGTTCAAAAAAGATAGGATTTTAAATATAAATGCATAATATGAATTTACTATATGGACTTATTCTTTGTATTTAAAATTGTGGACATTACTGTACATATGAAAGGATATTATATATAATTGCATTGATGTTATTTTGTGTGTTCAAAAAAGATAGGATTTTAAATATAAATGCATAATATAAATTTACTATATGGATTTATTCTTTGTATTTAAAATTGTGGACATTACTGTACATATGAAAGGATATTATATATACGGGTATTTCAAAACATTTGTGGAAAAATACAATTAAAAAGTCGTACAAAACTTCCCATGAACTTACTGGCAAAAATTTTCCCATTAACCAAACTCGATTCAGGTTCCTCTGAACTCCTTTTTAACTAGGCCTGACTTTGGGCTTCTGTATACCTCTCTGCATTGTACAGTTTTAGCAAGGGTCCTGGTCAGTCAGTTTAACCAGATCCCCCATCCCTAATATCTGATCATCTTCAGTATCTAATCGCATTCCGCATTCTCCACCATCTCCCAGGTCATGTCTGATCACCCTGGCCTGTCTTCAGCAAGAATCCTGTTAGGTTGGTTTAGCCAGAATCCCCCTTACTCCTGATGTTCCTTTCCTCTTAGTGTTTTTCCACTCATGGAATTTTCCACCCTGCTCCTTGGCTGTAAATTCCCACTTGCCCATGCTGGATCAGAGCTGAGCCCAGTCTCTCTCCCCCAGTTCAAGACCCCATGGCAGTGGTCCCTATACCTATGACAATGGTCCTTCTTACATCTGGCTTTGTCTAAAGAATATATTTCATTGAGATTTCTTCTCTCTGATGCAATGACCTAAGTGCCCTTTTCTGTTTAACTCAGTGGGGGATTTTCATTTGTAGTTTTGCTCACTTGTAACTCACTCAGTAGTTTTTAGGAATGCATGAATGACCTACAGGTTTTATTTTTCTGTACAATGACTGATGCAGAGTCAGGGTGAAGGACTTAGAGGGGTGATAATTTTGAGTCATGAAATTCAGAGTTCATACTTATCTCAGGATTAAATTACAGCAACATGGCATTGGGGGGTTTCCATCTAAGAAATATGAGTCAGAAAACATGAGCTAGGGATGTCTATCTTTAGAACTGTTTAAGATTTCAAGATTTTTTTAAGTTTTCTGTTTGTTATGTTCTTTCTTCCCCCCAAGTGACTAGCATTAAGATTCTCGGATCTGTGCACTTGTGTTCAGGTACAGAAGCAGATGATTTCCTATTTCAAGGTCAGTGTGGGGGTGAGGCAAAGGGGCAGAGACCCAAGAAATAGAGGAGGTGATGACTCTGAGTAGGAAATAAATCAGGCTGAGTTTGTGAGGATGTGGAGGAAGAAGGAAAGGAAAGCCTTGGGGGTAGGCCTGGGGAATGCCTGGGCACATAATCAGAAAAATGAAAACAAAGTGACACTAACTTGTGTCCCTCCCAAATTCATATGTTGAAACCCTAATCTCCAATGTGATATTTGAAGATGGGGCCTTTGGAAGGTCATTAGGGTTAGATGAGGTCATGAGGGTGGAGCTGTCATGATGGACTTGGGGTTCTTATAGGATGGGACTCCAGAGCACTTGCTCGCACTCTCTGTGCACATGAAAAGAAGAGCTCGTGTGAGTGCACAACATGATGGTGGCCACCTACAAGGCAAGAGAAGAGGTCTCAGAATGAAACCTACCTTGCAGACACATTGACTTGGACTTCCAGCCTCCAGAGCTAAGGTACCCAGTCTATAGTATTTTGTATGGCAGCCCAAACAGACTAAGACCAAAACAAAAAGAATCTGTACAGTTCCCCCACCATCTCATCTCAAACCCAACAGGGTGAAATCAAAACCTTTTCTCTTTCCCTATAGAATATTTCCCTCTGCATACCCTTACTTACTGAAACAACATCCACCTAATATGTCAAATAACTCTCCAAAAGTATTAACTCATATAAGTTACTATTCTTAGCCCTATTTTATAGATGTGGAATCTGAGATACTGAGTTAAATAAATTGAGCAAGGTCACACACTAGCAAGTATCTGGGCTGGGATCTGAACCCAGGCAGTCTGACTCCAGGATCAGTGCTCTCAACTCAGCTGTGCTGGCTTTCCCCACATTTCTTTGCTGTCCACTGTGCTATGAACATACAGTTATCTTTGTCACAACAATGAAGATTCATTCCCACTCTTTGTTTTCCTACCATGTCCAAGAATCATTTATTCAAGATTTTTCCTCCATGAAATAACTTATCTGCCCAGTGTGAGATATATATATATATATATATATATATATATATATATATACCACATGTACATACATATATATACACACATCAGATATCTCTTATTTTCTGCTATATATTGACTTTTACTGGAGCAGTGAAAATTAGGATGTATAGTAAGAAATGGATTGTCAATGTTAGAAGGAAAGCATTCAATTATAGAAAAAGTGGAGCCCTAAGTTCGGATTATTTATAAATCAAATAAAAGTGGTGGTTCTTTAACTAAAATATAAACATAAAAACCCTAAGAAACAAGAAAACATATAGGATATAAAAGCCATTTTCAATAATATTGAAGAATTATTACAAACAAGAGTAATTCTAAGGCTTGACTTTTTTCCTTTGGTTCAAACAGCCTATAGTAATTAAATTCTACTAATTAAGATACAGAGTTGAAGTCAACAAACGCTCAATAAGAAATGGAGGAAAAAAAATAATCTCACCGGCTGATGTGTGTTTGAACTTTTCACTTTTCTTCTTCCTCCACTTCCAAGGCTTGAAAATCCTTCCCAGGTTGGCAAACTTACTTCTCCTCCGGATGGGTGGGGTGTGGGTACCTGGGACCAGGGAGTCAGAACGCATCGCCGCCAGCCTCTCCACTTCCTCGGCTTGTTTTTCCCAAGAAAGAGATGGAAATAAAGAGAGGGGGGAAAAGTGTTAAAATGGGAGCCTCACAGATGGCCAACGTTTTCCATGGTTACAGATAACAGAAACCACATGACTAGGGTTCCGTGTCTCTTTCTGCCTTTTGGAATAGAAGTCATACCAATGTGTTCTAAAGGCTGGGGACAGCCAGACAAGCCCTAGAGATTCAGAACCCCCACACCAAATTTGCCCAACCTTCACTAAGACTTGAGGAGGAGGAGGAACAGGGCTGTCTTAGACTCCCCCACGAGTCAGAGAGAGGCCATCCCAAGACTCATATGAAAGTCTGTGTAACTACTGGTCCAGCAATCTCTCAAATGAGATTTAGCAGATGCAATCATTATAGAACTATCTGCTAAGGAAAAAAGGAAAGAGAAAAACATTTACAACTGTCTGTTCCAATGCCAATGTCTCCACCACCTACACTCTCTACTTCCTACTACCCTGCTTGACCCAGACCCTCCAAAGCACTGAAATCTGTTGAGTAAGTGGCTCCACCTTAGGGCTACTGACCAATTGTAAAATCACTCACACCTCCATTTGATTTTATAATTGCTTTAATTCCTCTAGATCTTTTTTTTCCCGTTGATGTTTTGTTTTAAAAAAATATTCTTAGATGGAGACCGGTTCCCGCTCACTGGCTGAGTGTGGTGCGGGCGCAACACTGAGGGTTGCGATCCTGTTACCGGTCCCCGGTATGGGCGTGACACCGAGGGTTGCGATCCCGTTACCGGTCAGTAAAAAAAAAGACAAAAAGGAAAAAAAAATATTCTTAGAAATTGAGAGCTGGGAGTATCCTTAGGGAATGTCTAGACTAATCCCAATAACTGAACATTTGAGGATATTAAGACTTTCAATCTCATAATGCCTAGTGGACCCTTCCTTAAAGGCCACAATTACCCAACCTCTTTTTACCACATGGACTAAAACTCTTTTCTAAGTTACATGACTATTTGCATCCAGTGAAGTAAAAATACCCTAGCTTGAATTTTTAACACAGGAATAATCAGAAAATAATCTTCTTGGCAAAATCGAGGGGATGGGAGGAACACAACTTTCCAGAGAGCAAAATTACATCTACAGCCACGGCAAATGCAAAACCACTCTGTTTGGCCTCAAACACCGTCCTTCAGAAAAATCATCTGGACTTCCGCAACATATGCAGTCTTTGAAAGCTCAATCTTGCAGCCTGATCGTTGGCCTATTCTGGTCTGGAAATGGTTTCAACTCATGAGATCCATCCATTCAACAAATACATGTATGTGGAAGCTCAACCATGTTTCAGGCAGTACCCTGTGGCAGCTGACGATGGCTGATAAAGGCTCCTTGTAGCAGGACAGGAAGGAAGTAGATGGACTTGAGAGAAGTGCCAAAATCAAAGTAGGACCTAGTGACTGGCCGAGTGACCTGAAGGACAGGAGGCAGGTCATTCCCAATCCCCAGACTCATGTCAGCGAATCATTCATTCATTCATTCATTCACTCACTGAGATAAGGGGAGGCACAGGTTTGGCAGTGAGGGCAGCGATGATTTGAACATGACACTTAAGCCTTTGACTACATGGTTCAGTGCACTGGTAGCTCCTTTTTTTTTCAATCAGTTAATTAGGTGGCCACTTAATTCTGTCAAACACTTATCACTTCTGGGGAAGACACACAGAAGAACTGGACGTGGTCTTGAGCAAAGAGTCTCGAGGAGAAGACAGAGGGATCAGTGTGTTAAAACACGCCACAACATGGGCAATGACATAAAATAGGCACAGAGGAGAGGAGAGAGCAACTAATTCTGCTTCACGGTGTTGGAGAAAACCCCAGGGGAAGTCATTTTTGGCTAAGTTTTGACGGAAGAGGGATGATCCTCCCTGCATGGGGAAGGGGGAGAGGTGGATGCCTGGGAGGAGAAACAGACCCTAATGGAACAGAGAAGGCTGAAAGAGTGTGGCATGTCCGGGAACATCATGTCCAGTGAACCGTGAGCGCCCGTTACATTAAGTGAGACGGGGGGCCACTGGCTGGAGGAGTCCGGAGCCAGGTCATGCAGGCTTTTGCAAAGTTTTCCCAGGCATTTTGGTTTTATCCGATAAGCAGAGGGAAAAGAACAAGAATCTGAAAGTGGGAAGTGGACATTATTATATCCAACAAATACGTATTGAGTGCTCCCTCTGTACCAGATGCTTAGTTATATCGTAAACACAACAGAGGAAAATATCAACTCGTGGAGCTTGCCCTGGGAGGTGGGGTAGGGGGCAGACAAAAAACACTGAAACTAAATAAATTATACTGTGTGCAAGAAGACACATGCTTTGGGAGAAACACGAGGGAATGAGAGGAGCTCAGTAAAAGAGATTGAGTGTCCCTGGAAGAGAAGGTCAGCCTGATGGAGAAGGTACATGATTGAGATGCTATCGGGTTTATTTCTTAGGAGGATCGTCGTAGCAGAAAAGGGAACCTGAATTGCAATGTGAAGTAACAGGTGACAGAGAGAATAAGGAGGCCACTGCAGTCATGGTAACTAGCACCCAGGTAGGGCAGTGACAGAGGGATAGAGAAAAGATGAGATTCAGCCAGGTGGGAGAATCAGCAGATCTGGTAACTTTCTGGATGAACACGAGGGAGCACCAGGAAGCAAGAAGGGCTGAGTTTTCAGTTTCCCCAACTAGGTCCACGTGATGATTTTACATGTTTTGAAGAACTCTGATGATAAAGGAAGAAGTGGAATAGGATAGTGGCCAAATGGGAAAGGACTTTGGAACCGGAGCATGCGGTCTTTTTGCAAAGCCTTAGATTTGAAAAACTATTGAGAGGAAATCTGCCAGGGTAGAAAAGGCGTGACTCGATCTGGTCAGCAGGCTGGGCTGCAAGAGCCAGTTGGGAGAGACTGAAGATGTAGGAAAGAGGTTGAGGAGCTCATGAAACAGGGTTTCTAGGGAGGAGAAGGGAGGTCCAGAGTGTCAGTCACCAGAAGACTTTATGCAGAGGGATTGAACGTTTCAACTGGGGTCTCTGAACATTTAAACTGGGGTCTCTGATTGCAAATGGCACAGATGAGATGTTGAAATGTGGCCCTTAGGGGGATTAACCCAGCAGCATTTTAAGGAAGTTTGGGTTGCAGAGGAGAATGGTTAAAAACAACCACAACAAAAGACAGCTACAACAGAGAAAGAAAAAAAAGTCAAATCAGGCAAATTAAGTGGACTTTGAAGAATCACTGAATTTGCATGTTATTCTTTTTAGATGGGGTCAGCTGCTTGCGTGGTTGCTTCTTCAACAGTGTCAGAAGCCGGGTAGAGCCACATAGGCAGTAACAATTGTGGGAAACCATAGCAAGGAGGTTTCAAGTCCAAGATGGAAGCCAAATCAATGCAGTCTAGTGATCTGATTACTGTAAGATCACTTTCTCTTTCAAATCCATCACCTTTCCCCATTTCTTACCTTAGTTTATGCTCTTTTTGTTGCATATCCAGATTTTACAAGTCTCCAAACCTATATTAAAAACCTCAGTCTCCTGACTTCAACCCTGTATTTTATCCTGTTACTAGATTACTGTCTTGGCCTTCAGCAACCTCAACCTGAGTGACTGGCCCAGAATTATCTTCTAGAACTTCCCAAACACATGCTGCAGCTAAAATAAAATAGTCCCTGTAGCAGCAGGCTCGTCCTGGGATCTCTGGATCCCTATGGGCTTCAGTTCAGGGGCGCCATCAAACCACTGAAACTACATGCAAAGATTTGTATATACTTGGGTATCTGCATTTCATTGGAAGAGTTTCTATCTTCCCTTAAATTTCAGAACAGCCTAAGACACAAAAGATAAAATTTTTAAAGTATCCATTTTGAGGACTGAGTTCAGCCAACCTAAAACACTTGCTAAAGGTTAAAGGAAATTATATGCAGAACCCTTAAAAAAATGATAGGAATTACTCAGGATTGATATTGTGTTTGCTTCTCATAGTTTTCATTTACTGACTTATTAAATAGAATCACTGCCTTTAATTCAGCCCATCCACATACCTCTTGATAGGTTTAAAAAAAACATCACTATTTGTCTTTAAAAAATAATGCACCACTAGAACCAAAAAGCTGTTTCACAATCATATCTTTAAGAAATGGACACAAATTATTCTGAAATTGCCACATGAAAATAATTATAAGAAAGGAGGAATGCCTTTGGAAAACCCTCAAGTAGCAAGGAGCAGACAGAGGATTATAAAGGTATAATTATAACTCAACAGTTATATGAATCCTAAATAAGTATATTATTAAATTCAAGATGTTTAGCTCTTAAGTACACTAGATTATGGAGCAGACTGGATTACATTAGGTTTAGTTGACTTATATTTTAATCACCCATATGATACTTTTTATTGGGTGACAAGGGCTAGCTCTCAACCTGCCTGCTTTCCCATCAGATAATGAAACTGGAAGGCTCCAAAACGAGGAGGCCAACTTGTGAATACGGCTTGAAAAGGAAGAAAAACTAAAGAAAACAAAGCAGGGTTCAGCATAACATGGTCTCCTCCTGCAGGAGCATGAGAGACAAGGGATGTAGGCGGGAGAGAAGAAAGGGGCGCGGGCCGGGGTGGTAAGAAAACAGCCTCCCCCGACATGGCAAACGTAAGGGCAGCGTCACTCAAGCCCATTGCTCTCAAAGGTGGTTTCTTTGTGCTGCCCAGAGAAGAGACAGCTGTCTGGAGAAAATGCTCACTTAGACATGAATCAGCTCCAATGTCAACTGCCAGGACTGGGAATGCTAACTCAAAAGGTGGGATGCTGGGCAGCTGAGCTAATTCAGAGAGCTGAGTAGTGAGGGAGTCCTGGGCTGGAGGATCTCCTGGGGTCTTTCCAGAGCCACCTACCAAGAGAACACTCTTTAAGAGACTAGACAGTTTAGTTCCCTTTTATGACATGACCAGGTTTTGTTTAAGAGCTGAGTAGTGAGGGAGTCCTGGGCTGGAGGATCTCCT